ACTTAACAGACCTTGAGGAAATATTTCTTTTGCATTTCAGTGGGGGAAACCTGAGAATTCTGTGATTATTCAGGCAAAATTAATTAAAATAACTCATAGAGAAGTCAGGTGTAACTTTACATGGGCATTTTGAGATTAAAGTGTATAAAAATTATATTAATAAGCTCTGTTCCTTTTGTGCAATTTAAAACCACCACTACCTATGCTCACTAGTGTGAACAGAATTATTCTGGCTGTAAAACTATGCTGTTTGTTCTGCACTAGTTAAAGCTGAGGTTCCTGCCTCTGATCTGATCCCCCAAATCCCCAAGTATTTGGAGAAAAGTGTGTGTGTGTGTGTGTGTGTGTGTGTGTGTGTGTGTACACATACATGTGTACATGGAAGCTAGAAGAGGGTGCCAGGTGGTCTTTTCTATCACCTTCTGCTTTATTCCTTTGAATAAGCCTAGAGCTAGTGGGGTTTTTTTGGCTAGGCTGGCAGCCAGCAACCCCAGGTGGTCTTCTTCTTTCCCCTCCTCCACCCCTTCCAGTGCTGGGGTTAAAGGCATGTGGAAGACCATACCTGGCTTGAGAGCCTTTTAAATCCTTTTGTCTGTGTTGGCAGTGGGACTGGATAACAAGCAGGAGGTACAAACTGCAACTGTGACACAATCAGTCATGGCAGTTCCTGGAAGTCAAGACGGTTTCTGCCCTAACTTTGCCCAGGCATAGCATCATGTCTGAGGGTATTTATGCTAAACAAAATAACACTAGTTAAAAAAAAAAAATTCCATCATTCATACCCTTGGAGCTGGCATCATTAGGGATAGAGTAGGTCACGTATTGAGCCTTCATGGTTCTAGCATGTTCAGTACCTGTGAACTTTCAGGAGTGGTAATCAAGGTGATGCTGGGATATGTCCCAATTTTGTAGAGGCCAAGTTTCTATTAAGTCCAGGCACCAGGGTGCCTGGTGGTAGTCTGTTGTATTGGGAGGATTGAGACAGGAACAATTAACCCCCAGGGCTTACAAGAACAACTTCTAATTGCACGGTGGCAACCCCTGCCCCCCCCCATTTCTTAGCCAAATTTTGTCTTTCCAAATAAAGATAGGTAATGATTAGATGCCCCCTCCCCCGTTTTCTTTCAGCTGATACATTTGGCATTGAGGAATAACATAGTATAAAAACAGCTGTTAATTTAACTTATCTGTCAAATGTTTTTTCAGATTTCTTATGCCAGCATTAGAAGGTTTCAGGGAAGTTATAAAAGAAAAGAGACATTTGGTTTTTACAGTATACACAATTTTAATAACAAAACTTGTCTGTACACTGTATTATATCCCCCAATTCCTTATGTAATAGTATTTTCTTCCTACCCCCAACCCATCTACCCCATCCCCAATGGCTCTTAAAGGTGGATTGAGTACATGTTTGGACTGTTCTTTGGGCTTCTAATCTCAGCGTTGATAGGCTCACCAAACAAATACTCCATGTATCCGACTTTCTTTTTTAATTTGAGGAAGAAAAAGTCAGTTGAGGGAGTTGCAGAAGTTTCCAGATGTTTGCAGTAGCACAATAAAAGTTTAAATGGTTATTTTCTTTTCTTTTTCCTTTTTGGTCTTAGTCAAGCACTATGAGTTTGCCCCAGGTTAGATAGAGAAACATTTATCTATATAGATGGCCTTACTGTCATTTTATTGTTTTGGTTTGGATTGTTTTTTTTATGGTTCAAGCACTTCAACTGAGAAGATATGAAAAGTATGTCCTGTAACAGACTTTTGAAATATTTCTGTCACTGTATTACTGTATTAGGAAAATTATTCTTGTAAGTCAGCTGTTAAAAATATTCTTGCTTTAAAATTTTTTGATAGCCACACATTGGGGGCAGGGAGAGAGAATTGAGAACACAGGAAGTTTATAGCCTTTCCCCCTTGTAAAGTATGACTTAAGAAAATAATAAGCCTGTTTTTTTTGTATTTTAGAATGCAGGCTAGTGCTAGTTTATTTTAGGGGGAAGATGGAGTTTAGCTTTTGGTGACTAGCATTAAAATAAACAGATGGACTTTAATAACTAGTGAGTGGAATTGGGAAGTCCAGTCAATCGCATTCATTGAATCGGTGCAGAAATTAGACACATTAAGAACTTACACGTTATAATACCAATTTTTGACTTTAAAACTAGGGTCTTCACTTTTTGATTTTGGCAGTAAGTCTTCTGAGTTCTGTGTGGGTTTACAGATATACCAGCCCACTCTCTTTTCAGAAGGGTAAGATTGAAGTCCCTGCAAGCTACAGAAATGACTAGAAGAGTTGCAAACTAGTTCTTAGGCTCAGGTACATAGGATGTCATAGTCTTCTTTAGCATTTTTCTAGAGAGGCTATTTTTCTGGTTCTTAATGGTCATTTTCCTCTAACCTTGAAATGAGGAAGAAAGGAAGTTGGAAGGTGATGGTGAAGAAGATAAAACCCCATCAAAAAAGCAAGCCCTCCACATTTATAACCGGAACTACTTAGAGAGTTGCTGTGATGTGTAGTTCTATCCTGGCCAGTTGGTAAAGATAGTACAGATACTGTGATAAAATACACAACTAATGGAACCCTGTTTTCATAGGCAATTAAAGAGAAATTTGTGCTTCGAGTGAGAAAGGAAAAATACTTCCAGTAAATTAGCAAATGTGACAAAAACTGTGGAAACAAATAGAAAAACAGAACCTTTTCCCCCGGTGACCTCGGCTATGTTCTTCCCCTGCTATTAAATGGCTTGCTTTGCAACATACATTAAGGATGTCTTCACTTTGTGGTCCATTTTACTAACTATATTCTTTAGGATTAGTGTAGAAGTTCTTGTTATTTCTTACTTTTCTATTCATAGTTTGAATTAATTTTGGTTGTGATTTGAAATGATGAAGAACATTCCTATCCCTTAGGGCCAGTGGAATCTTGTGCTCTCAAGACTGTATTGTGAACAGGCTGTCTGTCATCTGACAAATGGCAGTGGTCACCATGATAAATGAATTGGTAAATTTTAGCCCATGGAGCTCATTTGTTATAGGGGCTTCTGATCCAGCCCCTCTGTAGGGAAGTAGTGCTCTGCGCTCTATGCTGGAAAATCAGCAGCTGTCTGAGCTCAGACAAGCTCAGAGTCTGGTTTATCAGGAGATGAAATGCTTGCTACTCAAGACTATCTAAATTGAACTGTTTTGAGGCTTTGCCAAATTAATCTACCCATGTTAAAAAAGACAGAGAACATAGTTTCGCTGCAACTTGTGATTTTGTCTGGTCTTTACTTAGAAATAATTTCTTTGAAATGTAGGTATCTTTTTAAGTGCTAAAGGAGGAAAATCATGTCTAAATCTTTAGAGCTAAACATTTTTGATTCAGTCCTGGAAAGAAAACAAGCCTTGAAAGAAGGATTTAATGTTAAACATAACTAAAAAAGACAGAGAACATAGTTTCGCTGCAACTTGTGATTTTGTCTGGTCTTTACTTAGAAATAATTTCTTTGAAATGTAGGTATCTTTTTAAGTGCTAAAGGAGGAAAATCATGTCTAAATCTTTAGAGCTAAACATTTTTGATTCAGTCCTGGAAAGAAAACAAGCCTTGAAAGAAGGATTTAATGTTAAACATAACATGTATGTTAAGGAAAAGATGCCCTTTAAAAAAAAATAAAAAAAAAAAAAAAAGACAGTGACTTCCTCTAAGGATTTACATATTTTTACACATAAAAATTCTTGTTTTTCTAAAATCAAATTAATGATCCTTATTTCAATTTTCTCTTACATGAAACCTTCTTTATGGAAAAATTCTGTGGGAATTGGTTACTTGCATCTAAATCCCAAATATGCCATAGTTTTCCCATAGAAGTCATAATCGGAGAAATTGAATACTTATGGTGGTTCTCATACTGAAAAATGTGGTATCATTGCATTTGTTGTTATGGTTATACAGTGTTTATATTTATACCAAAGAGCCTTCCTTTCTTCCCTTTTCAGTGCCGGTCCCTGGGCCTTGCTTTATTTGGTACAAATTGTAAATAACCACTTTTGCTGCTTGGTAACTAACCCGAGAGTCAGGTTTCAAAATCTCTGCTCTCTATCCTCCTACCTTCATGCTGCCTTCCGCTTAATGTTGTGTGGCTGCAAAAGTATGTCGAGTGTTCCACCATAAGATTCACCTCAGTAATATGTTGGTCCTGTCACAGAAGGAACCAATAATGTGTGCATCTTTATTAAAAAGGCAAATTTTACACCATATTTTGAAGGTAATTTTTCCATTGTTTCTTTATAATACAGCAAGAATCAGTGTTATGCCTGTTTGCTAGCCAATTATTTTTAATTTGGCTCTTTGAGGTTTAAAGAAAAATCAGAAAAAGGCAGATGGAAGAGGCTTAAACCCTTTGTCAGGGCATCTTTATGAGGGGGATGGTTTTTCAGACTCGAAGGAATATGTCAAGATTGTTAAATTGACACAGCATATCTCTTCTCTCCCAAATGCTATTTTTTTACATAAATAAGATTTAGTAAGTTAATTAGTAAAATGGTAATTTAATACTAGTATAAAATGATAGTCTAAATGCCACAAAAATCAGCATGTTCATTACAAGTCAAACTAGAGTTGTATGATAAGAAGTCAATGTAATTGTTTAGTATTGATTTATTATAATGAGACCTTTTATTAATAATCTCTTGGATTCATTGTTGAAATATATTAAAGTGACACCCAGCTTTATTAGAATTACATAAAGGGTGCTGATTTCATGATGTAGACTTTGATAATGTCTATTAACCAGGCAAAAACTCTGAAAGAAGAGTGTTTAATATTTACCAGTCTTCAGCATACATGTACATCTACTTTTCACACTGGCAATAGATTATAGTTTGAGTAAATACCAAATTATCACACGAGAACTTTGCTGTCTTCTTTTAAACAGGAAGCCAGGTGTAGTACATGGGATAGAGAACAGCGATCAAACAGGTTTTCATCCCTGTCTTTTTCTGCCTAATAGCGTTTTTTTCTGAACTGTTTTGAGTAGAGAGAGAGAAAAAAAAAACATGGAGACCTTAGTGTAAATGTTTACATACAATAGTATATAATTACATACATGAAATGTCTTATTTTGAAGTAAGCATTTAGATTTTCCAACGAGAGTGCAAATTAATGTGAGCATTGCTTCATTTAACACTGAAAATATGTTTTCATTTAAAAAATTAAAAATACTTCAACACTTCAAAAAATCAAGTCTCCACTTGATTTGGAAAATTAGGCTTAATGTCACCATTGGTAAAAATTGGATATGTATTTGGCCCCTACTATGTAAAATAGGTTACTTATCTGATGTGACTTTTGATGATGGGTAGATATTATACTTCACATTCTTTGTATGGCAGCTGCTGACACTTGCACTGTCCATAACCATTAATGATGATGAAAGGTCCTTCATGGGTGGGTTCATACTCATTATACGGTCCTTGATCTGACATGTTTGACATATGGAGTCGTGTTTGGGATCGGAGCTGCCTGTGGTTCTGAATCATAGAGCACTGCCTAATTCTTCTTAAAGTGGGAGGGCAGCACTTCCTGGAAATGAACACTATAAAAATAATAAAAAAGAAAGAAAACAATAAAGCCATTGTTCCTGTAATTACTCGCTGAGTAAAGATGGCATTGTCTGGTTCAGGAAAGTGTTCCTCTGTAGTAACTGCAATGCCTGCAGTTGTTGGGATTTCTTTGTCTCCTACATGGTAACTTGATGAGCTTATTCTTTTTGTATATTCAGTGGTTGGATCTCTGTAAGTTGTAGCCATGACAGTGACAGTGGTTGATAAATTCCAGCAGAGCTGAAACCCATGTACTGCATCTAAAATATCCTCTCCTTGGGTGTGGTCAGGGCTGTGGCATAGGATGGAATGCTCCCACCGACCTTGGAAACTGCCCAGCCAGGAGGCAAGAGCACATATTCGTGGGCTGCATTCCCACAGATTGCCAGAGAGGCCGATGGTTGTGAGGGATCTCAGGGAGTTTAAGATTTTGGAATCAAGACTGTTTAACTTGTTGTTATCCATAAGGAGTATTTTAAGATTAGGCATCGTTTCAAACACTGTCAAGTCGATGGCTTTGATTTCATTTCCAGTCAGGTCTAGCTTTTCTAAAGTGCTCCAGGTCCACTCCATTCCACATGTCAAGTTGCTAATTTTGTTCCATTGTAAGAAGAGTGTGTGCAGACTGCTTAGCCGGAGGAAATGAGCAAAATTAATCTTCGTCAGCTGGTTGTGCTCTAGGTGAAGCTCTCTCAGTTTGATTAATCCTGCAAATCCATTGCGAGCCAAACTTCGCAAACGGTTTGTGCTCAAATCCAGAAACTCTAGACTACGACAGTCCCAGAACAGGCGTACTGGGATAGTCCGCAGGGAGTTGGAACGTAAATGCAAGGTTTGCAGCTTCCGAAGGCCATAGAACAGCTCAGGGTGCAGAGATGACAGCTGATTAAAAGACAGGTCCAAATTTTGCAGGTTAATCAGTTGGGTAAAAGTTGTGTTTGGCAAATAAAATATTTTGTTGGAGCTTAAGATTAACTCCTTAAGTTTATATAGTCCTTGGAAAGCATCTTCTTTTATTGTTGAAATTTGATTGTGATCTAAATGCAGCCAGGTAAGTTGACTGAAGCTGGCAAATTGATCTCTTTCAAGCTCTGTGATGTGATTGTGCCTCAGGGACAGGCCCAGAGAACCCTTGTCTGTGGCGTTTGGCACTGAGTGGAAGCCCTGAGAGTCGCAGTAGAATAGCAGCTTCTCACAGCGGCATTTGGGTGGACACGCCATACCCAGGGCAGGCAGCATTTTTAAAACCACACTCATTGCATATATTGCTGCCAGCATAGGGGCCCCTAATGGCCACTTGAAATGTAAGCCTGCAGAATATAATTTAAAGAAAACAAGAAGATAGGATATGTTTCAGCAGAACATATGGGCTGTTAAAAGCAACAACAATGTAACATTATGATGAAATATTTCATTGCGTATAACTTATTTTTCAGTCACTGCAGAAAAATTAACCTTGTTTGTATGACTGAAGCAGAACTTAAAGCATTTATAAAGATTAAATTAAATCATGCCCCCTTTCTCAGTGATACACCTTTATATAAATCTTAAAATCCAAAAATAACAGTGATTTGCTTCAAAAAACATGAATTCACTGGCTATTTTTAAAGCGTGATTCCTTGTTGACTGTATAAGACATAGAAATGCATGGACTTACCCATTCTTCTGAGCACATTGGAGGCTGCATTCAGTCAGGGTTGTCAGACTCAACGCAGTGAGTCTGTAAAAGGCTCTAACATGCAGGAGCCTTTGACCAGTTTCCTGTTTTCTGTGTCCCAGGCTTTTCAAGTAAAATTGAAATCTGCCCGGGTGAGTTGATTTTTCCTTAGGATATTCCTCTAGATAGCATTGGTTTCATTTTCTGTGGTGCTCTGATCCCTTAAATCAGCTTTGATTATGTTATTAATTTCCTCCTCCCCCGATTACTGCTGATCATCAAAGCATCAGTCTCTCCTTCCTGCAGCTGTTAGTTCTCTTGGTCTTAACTTGTTGATGGCAGATGGGCGGCTTGTTGCAGAGAAGAGCTCCTGGAGCAGCATGAGTGCATTTACTGAAAAGCTTTTCCGAGAAACGGCACAAGAATGGATTTGCTTATGTGCTGCGACCACACACAACTGTATATAGGCTGACGTCACCGGGTGACGTGTCTTTTGTTTGGGTTTTCCAGAAGCTTTACTGTTAAAAAGCACCATGCTTTATAATAGTCTTGGGGTCCTTGAAAGACCCTCCGATTAAAATGAATCGAGAAAGAAGAACTGACTTTAAAACATGGTATTCTTTCAGTGTAGGAAGCAACAATGAGGTTGTAATAAAGGCTGCATTCAAGATGACCCGTCTGAACAGTGAGTTGGACTAGCGGAGTGATGATTTTTAATGTGTGTGAGAGCTAGTATTAGACTGCTGATTCTCTGTAGATCTTCTAAATGTGCAGAAGTCTGCACGATTGATTTATGAAATGCTGTTTTAAAACGCCAGCCTAGCAAGGTAATTCCTCTGCTCTGATAGTTTGGAAAGCTACTCAATTGCCTTGTCATACTTAGTGAAAAAGCAAAGTATGACTGTTGCTAAACTAAATGGGCTTGCTTTCTTTGTCATTAAGAACTTAACATCTTAAAGGCAGGATAAAGAGGGGTTAGCTTCCAGAAACCATGGTGCCCCCCCACCCCAATTGAGAATTTCAAAGGAACTCTAAAAAGATCTTTACTTCTCTTATTACATAACAATGTTTTATCACCATGCTGATTGAAAAATAGTGCTGAGTTGATCTTTGAATGCCCTACTAGGAGAAAGGGAAGGTTGTTATACAGTCATTTTTTTATACACGTGACCCAAATGTTGATAGTGGAATGGAGATGATTTTGAACAAGTAATGCAGTGTGGCTGAATTCTGGCGTGGTCCCCAGTATTTCTACTTCAACATCTTACCTATTCCTTAACTGAAAGCTACAGTTACTGCTCAGATTGGGAGGTTGTGGCACTGAAAAAAACTGGAATGTTTGCACACCAGCTCCTACTGGCACACTTAAGAACTGACTTTGAGTCTTATACCAGCTCTTGTTGGACTTCTTCTTAGGAATAAAAAAAAAGAGGTCATTTAGATTGGGAAGGAGTTTTGGTTTTGGTTGGTTTTGTTTATCTTAACTCTAGCTTCTTCCTGTTGTATAATTTTTCAGACCTCAGATATGAATGTTTGTGGCTAGTATTATATAAATGCATAAGATGTTTCTAGCATGAATCAGTGTCATGTTCTCAGGCTATACTAAGGGAATGCCTTTTAATATATCTTTGCCTTATTGATTTAGCTGTATGTACTTATTTCTTTTCTTATCCTTAGTGAAGCTTGTTTCAGACCTGAAAGCAGAAACCTGAAAACCACCGATGTCTGTAAAACAAGAACACTACTGGCTTGTTGTCTTTTGAGGGTTTCATTCCACTAGGTGAATTCTATGAAGTCATTTTCTGAATAGATAAAACTTTTATATTGGAATATGACTATTCCAGCGATAACTAGAAGATGCTTAAGGTCTCATCCTTAGGGCCCTGTGTATAAGTTTTGTTTGATTTTAGTAATCAATTACGTATTTTTGAATTTTTCTAAAAGTCACCTCAAAATTTACTTAGAAGTACAAGTTTTATTGAAGGTAATGCCTTAGAAAGTATGAAAGGAGAGGGAAGGCAGTATCCGTACATGTGATACTGTGAAGGGAGACGAGAAGGAAGGCTATACAGACAGACTACAGTGTACTTTGTACATAGTTTCTCTGGCTGAGCTGAAGTTGCTCGTGTCCCCAGGAATGAACTTGCACTAGTACTTGCTCTACCAGCATGCTGACTCTAATGTGCCACTCTCCCATTGACCCTGATCTTCCTCTAATCCCTTCTATACCCTGGTGTTCACAACCTGGGTCTGGAGATGGGATTGTGAAATATTATTGCTCATTCGCTTTTCTGTGGATAAATTTTAATCAGATTCCTACTGAGTCTGTGACTCTAGGTTGTAGTGACATTGTTCTCTAGGAGCTTGCCCCTAAAAATTCCAGGCAGGGAGTTCACATGGGCAGTCTATTACGTTAATGTTACTATTATTAATGGAAAGGAAGCCCTTAGAATGTTGTGAATGTCTACTTGAAGTCAGCTGTTCTCTGACGAAAATAATCTTTGTAATGCAGAAGCTGGATTAAATTCTCACAAGTGACCACTTCAGTTCCTTGCGTAGAAAAAGTATTTGAGTCAGTTGAATTAGAGCAACCGTGGTTAGGAATGAGTGCAAGTATGTGAAGATTTAGAAGGAAAAGCATCTCCTTACTTTTTCTGGGTCAGGGTCTTACTGTATAGCCTTGACTGGCCTGGAACTTGCTATGTAGACTAGGCTGGCCCTGAATTTACAGAGGCCTGTCCACCCCTGTTTCCCAAGTGCTGGGATCAAAGGGTGTGTGTGTGTGTGTGTGTGTGTGTGTGTGTGTGTGTGATTTCTTAAATTCACAAGAGACTCCTGAGTCATTTCAGCTTGTGGATTCCGTATCTGTGGATCTGTGGAGGGCAGAGGCTAGCCTGACTTGGGTCTTTTCACTTTGTTGTCTCCCTGTCTCTTACTCTGGGCCTTCTGTTCAGTAAATGTTTGTTGGAGTTGTTAAATTCATTGGACCCAATGTTATAATTTAGGTGTTGAAATAATATTATCTCTCAGAAACAAAATGCCTCCAGATTGTTTTGCCTTTGGAATTCTCCCATCTATTTTTCTGTGGCGAGATGGCTCAACACTTGTTAAGAGCACTTGTTGGATTTCCAGCACCCACACGATTGCCCTCAACCTCCTGTAACTCCAGCTCCAGAGGATACAATGCCCTTTTCTGGCCTCTGCTGGTTTGCATTCATGTGTTAACCTGAGCGCACGCATGTGTGTGGTGTGTGTGTGTGTGTGTGTGTGTGTGTGTGTGTGTGTGTTGTGTATTTTTTTTTTATTAAATAAGAGACAGTTTTGTTATGTAGCCCAAATCCTTCTGCCTCAACTCTCAAATAGTTGGTATAATAGGTGCCTGTTAGCATGCCCTGCAGTTTATTAGTTTTTTATATTCCTGAATAGGTGGATAGACCTGCTTTTGCTGTATCAGAATGACTGAGGAACACAGTTCTTTCAAGGTCATAGTCATTTTTCTCACCTGCCTACTTTTTGGGTTCAGAGGTTGAGGCTGTGGACCCAAAGACATGTTTGGGCATGCACGTGTGTGAGTGTGTGTGTTTCTCATTGATCTTATTCCTTCCCTTCATCCCCCCTTCTCCCCTCCGCCTCCCTCCCCCCCTTTTCCTTTATTTATATAGATAGCATTGTTCTCTAAACTAAACTTCTTTTCATTTTAGAGCAACTTTATTCTGCATATAAATGTTTGATATATTTATTACCAAGCAAAGGAGAAGTAAAATCTAACCCACTTGTCCTCTGTAAAATGGTTTTAAGGAAAGTCACTGAATCTTATGGCAAGATTTAGGTAGCTGTTGTTATCTACATTCTTCTACATGAGAAATGCTTTTAACAAATACCTGGATGATTGGAGGAGGTTACTTCAGTCATACAGATATATAAATGAAATTTTCTATTCTTTTATGGTAGATAGTAAGTTTTATATTTGTTTTATACCAAAAAGTCAGCTATTCCTTTAATTGTATTTAATTCTAAAAATTAATGCCTTGGCACCAGAGTGTTGCACAGAGGTATCCTGGACACTGTGTTGAGATAAACTTTGTTGCTGAAGTCTTGATCGCTGCTTGGAAAAATCTCTTATACTTTTTGAATAGTAGCAACTTTTAGAGTCGAGATACTAGACTGTGTGGATCTGAATATTTCTCCTGAACCCTTTTAGGTCTTACTTGGCAACCACATACTTGGGCTTTTGCTCTATCAAGACAGAATAAGTAGTTTGGGGGTTTGTTTTTGTTTTTTTTGAAGGAAGAGGGTTTTTTTCCTCTTCTAAAATGACTGCATCACTTACACATCACTTGAGACAATGTAGTATCATCCCTGTTTTGTTTTGGTCTTTGGCCCTTTGTTGATTTTTTTTTTTCTTTTTTCTTTTTGAGACAGGGTCTCCCTGTAGCCCTGGCTGTCCTGGAACTGACTATGTAGGCCAGGCTGGCCTTGAACTCACAGAGATCTGCCTGCCTCTGCCTCCCAAGTGCTGGGATTAAAAAGGTGTGCGCCACCACGCCCAGCAATTTTTTTTTTAAAGGCTTTTTGTTCCTTTATTAGTAAATATGACTGAGAAACAATTGAGAAAACAGGTTAGTGTGGTGGGCAGTGTTCCACCTCATCTTGCAACTTACAGTTTGGAGTACACCCTTCTAGTTTGGAGGATGTTTGTGTGCTTTGGCACTTGGTACTCTTGAGGGAATGTCAGGGCCAGGGTCATGAGGCAGCCTAGTTCCTTACACTAGAGCTAGTCTGTGTCTAGGGCTATAAATTTAGTAATAAATCTTGGCTTGATTCACCTATTTTGGGAGTTAGGTGAGGGATTTTCCATAGAAGTTTGGGGAAGTAAGTATTTAAATTTAACATGAAGATATTTTCTTTTTGTACTGTAGAAATCAAAACAAAACAAAAATAGTAGAAATTAGTTAGGCCTGGTGGCATACACCTTTAGTCCCAGCACTAGGGAGGTAGAAGTAGGTGGAGCTCTGTGAAATGGAGAGCAACTGGGGCTACAGGGAGACCCTGTCTCAAAAAACAAGCAACAAAATAGCAGAAATTACCTTGGCCTAATCAAAAAAAAGGTCTCTTCTGCCAATGACTTGTGTTTATATTTCCCCCTTTAGGTTTACCCTTCCTGGCTTTTCCCTCTCTACATTTCTGAATAACTTGATTTAGATGTGTTTCTTCATACCTTGGGCTAAGCAGAGCCATTTGCACAGAATAGAATTAAGGAATTAGATTATCATTTATACTTACTTGAAGAATCTCTTAATTTTAGTGGGCTCTGGTCCAATTGGCTAAATTTAAAGAGGTTAATTTGCATGTATATTGGCTCCATGTTAACACTCTTAGCTGAAGAAGCTTGGAACACCACTCTCTGTAAGAACATAACTTAAAAAAAAAAAAAAAAACAATTAATTTACTTTTTTGTTTGTGGTACTAGGGATTAAACCCAGAGCCTTGC